CCATAACGTGTTCTGTGTCCTATTCATCCAAGCTCCACTCCAGACCCCAGGCATCCTGAGCGACGGGTAGACCATCAGCTTTGTGGAGGGTTCTTGATGCAGAAGCAGAGCCAGAACCGGTGGATTGCCACAATAAAAGCCCACTCCTCCACATCCTGCTAACTGGACGGCTCGGGCCACTGTGGCTAAACACCCCGTGAGACGGCAGGGGTGCTGGGCCACACTGCCACACAGCGTACCCCTGCCCTGTCTCAGGACCGACAGAATGGTGTTTTTTTCTCAACAAGGAAAGGGTGGAGCGGGGTTGGAAAATTCCCTACAAGATCCGATGTTCCTCACATTCCTAGGTTTCACTTAGCAGGAAATACCTTTAAAAACAAAACAAAACAAAACAGCTTCTTGTCTAGTTGTGGTGCCTCAGAGATCAGGAAATGCAAAGCCTGTGATGTTAAGCCGCCTGGCCCTTCCCTGCCATCTAACACCCTACAGAGCTTTTTTAACTTTTTTAAAAATTACCTTTCCACCCTAACCAGTTTGGCTCAATGGATAGAGCATCGGCTTGCGGACTGAAGGGTCCCAGGTTCGATTCTGGTCAAGAGCCATGTACCTTGGTTGTGGGCACAACCCCAGTATGAGGTGTGCAGGAGGCAGCTGATTGATGTTTCTCTCTCATCCATGTTTCTAACTCTCCATCCCTCTCCCTTCCTCTCCATAAAAAAAAAAAAAAAAAAAAAAAAAAAAAAAAAAAAAAAAAAAAAAAAAAAAAAAAAAAATCAATAAAAATATATATATATAAAATAATAAAATAAAAAGTTCCTTTCCATCCTCCACTCTACCCATTTCCCTCATGCAGGAAGACAATCCCCTGGCCCTTAATGTTACACAGCTGTTTATGTGGCTTTGAGGATGTTCCTATGTCACAATGGACAGGCACTCATTTACTCAAAACTTAGCTGAGCATTGGGGAGATGTCAGCCACCCTCCTAGACCATGAGGCCACTGGATGAATGGAACCCAGCCCCTGCCCCAGGCACACAGACTCATGCAGAGATGGCCACATACACCGGTGATTACTAAGCAGGTGGTAAGTGCAGTGACGAATAATGGGCATAATGACATGAAAAGCACAAAAAGTGAAGAGGAAGCCAGTATGGGCTTGGCAAGGAGCGCAGGGGGGGATGGGGGGGGGGTTAGTGTTAGGGTTAGGGTTAGGGGTGTGTGTGTGAAGTGGGTAGTGAAGAGAGAGGCAGGAATGGCCAGAGCCAAGAGAGAAGGTGGTGGCTGGGAGACTGTCCTTCCTTCCAGGAGGTCCCAGAAAGCCGGCCCCAGCCGATGGCGGCGACTGTGCCTGTACAATCTCCCTCTTCCTTCGGGGCCTTCTCCACAAACAGCCCTGCCTTCTCCCTGCATGTCTGTGCTTCTTCCTTCTGCGCCACATTCCCACAGATTCTTGGCCCTGGCGTGGCTCTGCTCCCCCCATGCCTGGCGTCCCTCCTCCTCCTTCTCCCTTCATCCAGCCTTGAGCGCCTTGGAAAAGATGAGAGCCACGTGTGGAGGAGATGGGAAAATAGGAGAGCTTCCTCTCCCCCTCCCCAGAACCAGCGCCTTGAGGACAAGCAGAATGGCGCAGGATTTCTTCACACTACTCAGGACAGCACGCAGTTTAACGCATGAGTTGTTTATTTCTGGAATTTTCTGCTTACTATATTTGGACCACTGTTGACCAGGGATATCTGAAACCACAAGAATGTGATCTTTCAATCTAGAGATTAAAATCTTTAATTCCAGGAAAACCTTCTTGAATTTTAATTTTAAATTTTTTTCTTTTCCGGGATTTTGTTTTTCCTCTCTTTAGGATATCCAATTAAATATGTAATAGCTCCTTAGCTCAACTTTTATACCTACCATTTTCTCTCTTAAGTCATTCTAAACATTTTTATCGAGAAATAGTTTATATACCAAAAAACTCACCCACTCAAAGTATACAGAGCAACCCACTCACCATCACCACAATCAATTTTAGGACATTTGCATCACTCCCAAAAGAAACCCCATACAATTAGCAGTCATTCGCCATTCCTTTATGCACCCAGATTCAGGCAACTACTAATCTACCTTATGTTTCTATAGACTTGCTAATCCTATATATTTCATATCAATGCAATCATACAATATCTGGCCTTTTGTGGGTGGCTTCTTTTATTTGTTTATTTATTTGTTTGTTTGTTTGTTTGTTTTTACTTAGCATAAATTTCCAAGATTTATCATACTGCAACATATTTCATTTCTTATCACTGAACAGTATGCTACTATATGGATGCACCACATTGTGTTTATCCATTCATCAGGTGAAGGCACTAGGGTTGTTTTCACTTTCTGGCTGTTAAGAATAATGCTGCTACTAACAGTCATGTACAAGTTTTTGTGTAGACGTGTGATTTCTCTTAGATCTATACCTCAGAATAAATCTTCTGGTTATATGGCAGCTCTATGTTTGACATTTTGAGGAATTGCCAAACTGTTTTTTCAAAGTCACTGCACCATATTTTATTCCCACTAGTAATGTATGAAGGTGCCAATTTCTCGAAATTATTGCCAACAATCATTATTATCTGTATTATAGCCATCCTAGGGAGAGTGAAATGATAGTCAACTGTTGCTTAAATTTGCATCTTCATGATAGCTAATGACGTTGAGCACGTTTTCATGTTTTGGTGGCCATTTGTATATCTTGTTTGGAGAAATTTCTATTCAAATCCTTTGCCCATTTTTAAGTTTATTTGTATTTTTACTGTTGAGTTGTGATCTTTGTATATTTGAATATGAATCCTTTATCAGATATTATGGCTTGTAAACGTTTTCTTCCATTCTGTGCATTGTCATTTTCCCCTTCTCCATAGTGTCCTTTAAAGCACAGAAGTTTAATTTAATGAATCCCAGTTTATGTATTTCTTTATTCTTTTTGCTTCTGATTTCTTGTATATCCAAGAAATCCTTGCCTACGCCAGATTACAAAAGTTTATTCCTATGTTTTCTTCTAGGAGTTTTTTTTTTAGTTTTTCACGTGGATATCCAATTGCCCCAACAACATTTATTAAAAACAAACAAAAAAAATTCTTTTTTCCACTGAATTGTCCTAGCCACCTTATTTCTATTTCCTGTTCCAATTTTGCTTTTGTTTGCCACAATAGTTAATTATCATTATGCTTATTTCCATTTTCTCTTCAGTTCTATTACGTTCTTGCTTAGACTGACATAAAGGGATATTAAATAAACATTCTGCTTGATTAAGTGGGGAGTCAGAGTGAACAGAGATGCGATGAAGAATGCATATGAGCAATTATTATTGTTTCAGGAAAAAAATGAATTCCCCCACTGGCTGAAACAGAGAGAACATGTATGGCTTTGTGTGACATAGAAATATGATTTGTCAATGTTTGAAATGTTGAGAAGCAAATTGTGGATATGCTCTGTAAGTCTGGTCAAGAAATTTACATCTTGCCGAGACCGGTTTGGCTCAATGTATAGAGCGTCCGGCTTGGGGACTGAAGGGTCCCGGGTTCGATTCCGGTCAAGGGCATGTACCTTGGTCGTGGGCATATCCCCAGTAGGGGGTGTGCAAGAGGCAGCTGATTGATGACTCTCTCTCATCAATGTTTCTAACTCTCTATCTCTCTCCCTTCCTCTCTGTACAAAATCAATTAAAAAAAATATTTAAAAAAGAAATTTACATCTTATCCTAAAAGGAATAAAGAGCCAAGTTTGAAGAATGAACTAATGGGTAAAGAGGTGATTTAGATAGATTACTACTACTGCTGCTGTTACTACTACTTCTACTGCTACTACTACTACTACTACTAATAATAATAATAATAATAACAGCAACAACATGCAGGCAAGAAAACCGGTAGGTGATCTTCGTAGCAGTTCAAAGATGAAGTCAGTTAGGCTTCTTATCAGAATCATTGATTCTGATAAGAAGACTAGAGAAGATACTTTTTAAAAATCAACTTCAAAATGAAAGGTTAAGAGATAAGGTGGATAAAAACTACATCAGAATTGATTATTGAGAACTCACTGTTACCTTTAAGATTTCAATTTTGATTCATCAGTCAGGGTAGAAGCTCAGTGTTGTTATACTGAAGATTAGATTAGGAGAATATAAAAAAAATAGCAAGTACAGAGGTAAAGGCAAGCTAATACCAGCCTAGAGTCTAATGTGGGAGAGGACTTAGGTACCACTTATTGAGGATACCAATTGTATAGGTTTTGTGGCCATTTTTAACCCTTCAAAAAGGGATTAAACATAATTCCATCTGCAAAATGCCTGCAATCATTTGTGGCCCAAAGCAAATAATTTCAAAATGTTAATTATTGTTATTATTGGTGTTTTTCTTCCAATAAAAAAAAAAAAACTTTTCCTGGGTAAAAAAGTGCAAGTTGTTTTTTTTTTAATTATCTGGGAAATCAAAAATATGTAAGACAAACAAAAATCTATATGGAATTCTTTGAATTAGTAATAAATGCCTGAACATATGTGTCATATAAGAATTTGAAGTGTCTCACAAAAAAATATTCCATTGAAACATGATTAATTTGGCAGGCCTGGAGTAAGAAGAAAACAAAAGAAAAATTGTAATGGTATAAAATTTAAAGTGTTCCACTTATAAAGTGTAGAAGATTTAAAAAGTGCTTCCCTCGCCCTAACTGATTTGGCTCAGTGGATAGAGCATTGGTCTGTGGGCTGAAGGGTCCCAGGTCCAATTCCGGTCAAGGGCTCATGCCCAGATACAAGCTCGGGCTCCAGGAGGAGGCGTGCAGGAGGCAGCCGATCAGTGATTCTCTCTCATCATTGATGTGTCTATCTCTCTCTCCCTCTCTGAAATCAATAAAAATATGTGGTTTTGGTTTTGGATTTTTTTTTTAAAGGTGTTACCCTCTCCTTTGTGTTTTATCAGACTTTTTGCTCTTTCATTTCATCTTTCTTCATCTTGATTTTTTTAGGAATTAGAGAGTAAAATCCCAGCACAATGTTCACCACTAGAGACGATGATCCAAGCACAGATGACGTGGAGGCTGAGTTTCCCAGGTGTTCGGTATGTCCTTCCAATGCTCTAATATGCACAGGAAACTGTGCTTTCAAAAATTATAAGAACTATTAAGTACGCGGTGGCATGCCGTGGATGGGGGGCGAAGAGAACACAGTCATGTCACTTCTGTGCCTTCCCTTCCTTGGCACAGCAAAATACAGCGCCTCTGTGGGCAGCGGGTCCTGAGTGCTGACTTGTGTTTGTGTTGTTGGTAATGCGTTTGAAAGAGCCATTGATCAACTCGGCCCACTTCCTATTTGTTGCTCTTGACTAGAATCGAAGGGAAACTGCACTGGGCTAAGTGACACAAGTTTGGGCTCCCACTTTGGCCGTTTTGGCCTTCCGAGTCAATGACCTAAGAAACTTCTTGGGAATAATGGGATTAGCAGGCAGAATGCTCTAGCACAGTGTTTCCCAAAGTGTGGTACGCGTACCCCCAGAGGCACGGGAAGAGATTGGTGGGGGTACGCGTTGCACCGGAATCTGGTGGGGATATGCACTGCACCGTGCTTAGCTGCGCCTAATTCTACGTTCTCATGAGTACAAGGGGTACTCAGCGTTACGGAAATTATAGAAGGGGTGCACATATGTCAAAAGTTTGGGAAACACTGCTCTAGAAGATACATTTTATTCCTTTAATATAGGATTTTAGATAAAGAAGGGGGACATTTATAGTCTTTTCTGACAACAATTCTTCCCAAACACTCCACAAATCCCAGCACAATGTTCACCAATTAGCCATTGGCTTTGGTAAAATATTCCAGTTAAGCCGAGACCCGTTTGGCTCAGTGGATAGAGCATTGGCCTGCAGACTGAAAGGTCCCAGGTTCGATTCCAGTCAAGGGCATGTACCTTGGTTGTGGGCACATCCCCAGTGGGGGGTGTGCAAGAGGCAGCTGATCAATGATTCTCTCTCATTGATGTTTCTAACTCTCTGTCCCTCTCTCTTCCTCTCTATAAAAAATCAATAAAATATATATTTAAAAAAATATTCCAGTTAAAAAGGACAATTACACCTTTGATTACAGTGTTCCTAAATATGCCAAGCCCCTCAGTCACCAGGATGAAGCTCTGATATCTAGATGATCTGACTCCCTTTTTTCTTAAAAAAAAAAAAAAAAAAAAATTTAGCCTCACCCATATCAGACTTTACAAACCCCCATAACTGCGTCTCTCCATGGTAACTCACACAGTCATAGAGTTGGAAAGATCTTAAAGATTTTAGAAAGCAGGCTCATTTTGCAATGCAGCCTTTCGGTGATGTGTCTGAATACTACCTCTTTTGCAGAATGAGTCTGAGACTTGTCCCTCTGGTCTCTGTTCCGCATTGCCACCATTGATGTGGCTTAGCTAGGCAACCATGTCTTCCAAAGATAGATGCTTCTGTGTTTGCATAGCTGCTTGGTATGCTCTTTGTTTTTAGGGTTTGCGGGTCTGCCAGGCAATCACCATTCATCAGTTTCATGACTTCCCTTCTTTTCCCCCCATAGCTGCCAGAATTATATGCACTGGCTGAGAATGTTAACAAAGAGAGCAAAAAATCGAATCGCCTAAAAACTCTTGGTCTTTCACCAACTGAAGCACGGAGAATACTTACTCAAATCCTGACTATCACTGGCAGAACGGATTCAGGAGAAGATTCCCAACCTGTTCTCAAGGACAAGGAGGTTAAAAGAAAGGAGGAGAAGCCACCATCGCTGACTGACCTCCTCCACCACAGCTTACTGACCGGCTCGCCGTCTCATATAGGCAGGCTGGGGGAATCCAAGCAGAGACTTGCTCAGTATGGGATCCCTCCTCCCATGCACACTTTTCCCTTTGAGGTTATCATCACTGACACCAACCTTTCAGGCACCACACAAAAGAGGCTTGTGAGTACCGGAAAAGTACCCAGAATAAGCATTTCCAAGGTGAAGACAGACAAGCTTTTATTTGAAGATAGAATTACTGAATACTCAATCATAGAACCAGGTACGCTAAACATGGTGGAAGGAAAAAGAGTGGAAATCTTACTAGAAAATGTGACTAGATTTCTAAAGCTGAAAGTATCAAATATCGATCGATGGGAATAGTGGAGTTCTGGTGCTCTGCTACATGTAAAAGCAATGAGAACAGAGATTTATCAAACACTCCAGGCTCAAATCTCAGACTCATTCCCAAAAAGGTGCATTTAAACTTACTTTTCTAAAATGAGTCAAGTTCAGCTTGGACTCTAAAGCACCATAACTATTTGTTTATTGTTTCACGAAGTTAGTCAAGTATTTTCTGAATAATGACTTCTCTTTCTTAAATATTTTGATTTTTCCTTCAATTGAGGGTGGGGTTTTTTGTTTTGTTTTTTGTTTTTAGATTTTTTTCATGAACCTTTATTCTTTTCTATTGTTACATCTCTACAAAGAGAAGGAAACTCTCCAGTTCTGACACTTTAATAAAAAAATACCCATAAAAGTCCAAAGACCATATGGAGAAAGTCAATAATATGTAAAACATATGTTGGTAAGTTATAATGAAAAGAGCCATAGGTGACCTTCTCAGATATTACCAAACAGGGAAGATGGTAAAATTACCCATGAGAAATAGACCTACTTGCTTGCTTGTACCAATTATTCTCTTTAAACTCCTCAAACTCATGTTGGCTCTTTGGCCTCTGGTTTTACATTTAATCCCCTGCCTTCGGCCTTCCTTCCCTCCCCCTCCTCCGCTCCCCCCTCAAGTTTATGATTTACTTAGGAATTGAAGGGAAGGGAAAGAGAAATGGCTGCTGAGTAGGGGAATAGGCAGTGTATCTTGGCTGTGGTTCATTGGCTTCTTGAAGAAATTGCAACTACTAGTGACTGACCACACTGGTAGGCCTGAAAGAGAAGAGGAAAGAGCCAAATTCTAGCTAAGACACTGTACTCAGGGCTTATACCAGCATCTTGGAAGAAGTGACATTAGAATGTAAATACTTCTGCTAAATCTCCCTCCTTGTTTCCACCACTCATTAGGATCCTGCCCCCAGTTGACCTCAGTGCTCTGCAGGTCTCTCCACTTGCACGTTCTTCGTTTCCAAGCACCAAATGAGACATTTTCTCTACCCATGGTGACCCTGCAGGTTCCTTTCCAGCCCTGCTAGCCGGACCCCACCCAATGCATAAGATGGGCACCATAGGTTCCCCCTTAGTTTATAGAGATGCAGAAAAGGCTTTCTACCAGAAGGAAGGAGACTCAAATTAATCAAAGGTTTATTCTGTCACGAAACACCTCTGACTCGCTGAAGGCTAAATGACACCATGTGATTCTTTTCAGAAAAACAATTCTTGGACCTGAGGGATCTGGAGTGGAAATATTACAAGGGGATCACAAAGTGGAAGCACAAAACTTCAGATGCATTTGCAAAAATACAGTATAACAGTGAGAAGAGGTTTGTAGAGAACAAGGAGACACCTACTATTGTTTTCCCCTCACTCATTCGTAGGTCTTTGGTCATTTATCCTCAAGTTAATTTCCCACCAAATTTAACCTTGTAAGTGAAATATGTAGTTTATTGAAAATATTCTGGATGTAGATTTTGCTTTTAAAATTTTTGAATTTACACACAAAGATTTACGAAGCAGATGCCCCATGGAACACAGACCTGATTCTATATGATATGCACATAAGGTCTAAAATTAAATCACTGATATGGGGTAAAAGATCCACCCTGACCTTCTAGGGTGTATAGGAAGGAGAACACACATGAGAATAGCTCTATAAAATTTTTTAAGTACATGAAACAGTCCACTATCATAAAAATAGTTGGTAAACTCAACAAAAGGGAAAATTAACACCTGAGGCTATAGAGGCAATTTGAGAATTTCAAAATATGTTAACAGCTCAAAGACATGAGGAAGGAAATAGCATTTATGAGATAAGAGTGGGAAGATTTTAAGAAGAACAAGTTGGAAATATTAGAAGTGAAAAACATAGTAATTGAAAATAAAGCAATGACAATCCTCAATAAATTATATCAATGATATACTGGATCTATCTGAAAAGAGAAGGGATTAATGAGTTGGCAGGTAGCACTGAGAAAGAAGTTTCCAGATCACAGCACAGTAAGATAAAGGAGGAAGTTATAAAAGAAGTTAAGGGTAATGGAGGGTAGAATGAGAAGTTCAGAAATATATCCAAGGGAAGTTGCAGAAGGAGATATAAAGAATGGAGAAAAGATGACACTTGGGGGAAAAATGATTATTTTCTAGAAATGTGGAAACACATGAAAACTTGCATTGAAAAATCTTACTGAGCAATTGGCAAGAAAATGTCGTAGCAGACCCCAAGAGCATTTGGCAAAGAAAGAAAATATAATCTACAAAAGAGAAAAGATGGAGGACAAACAAATGACAAAATGATGGTGAAACTCTCATTAACAACAGAAGTCAGAAGGTGAAGGTTTTATATACTCAACGTCCTGACGGAAGTAACTGTCCATCTGGAATTCACTAACCATACAACGCTCTTTAAAAAAGTAAGAGTAAAGTAAATATTTGTTAAAACATATAAGAGCAAAAAAATATTAATACCCTCTACTGAAAAAACTAGCAAGTATATACAATAGCAAGGACCCAGAGGGGGTGCAAGAAAAAGGAGTGAGCAATTAAATTCTTAATAACATCTGATTGCAATTGTGTCAATGTTAGAATATATTTCTAGATTCTATTTCCTAATATTTTTAAAATTCACCTTTATATAAGAGAAGTTATTCTGTGGTTTTCATTGTTTGCACCAATTTTAAAAATCAGATTTGGCTTCAGCATAGTGGATATTTTCAGCAGAAGGTACTGTCTAACAATTGGCCTGAGGGAGGTTTCTGGGTTCTTACAACATTCTGGGTTTTTTTTTAAATCTATCTACTCAAGTATGTTCAGTATGTAAAAATTCCCCAAGCCATACATTTAACAACTGTAAACGTTTTTTAAAATGTATGTTATCGATTTTTTTACAGAGAGGAAGGAAGATGGATAGAGAACCAGAAACATCCATGAGAGAGAAACATCAATCAGCTGCCTCTTGCACACACCCTACTGGGGATGTGCCCGCAACCAAGGTACATGCCCTTGACCAGAATCAAACCTGGGACTCTTGAGTCCACAGGCCGATGCTCTATCCACTGAGCCAAACAGGCTAGGGCAACAACTGTAAAGGTTTATCATGCATGTTACACTTCACCAAAAAAGGTTTATAAGTTGTGTTACCTTCATGAAATGAATTGGGGCCCTAGCCAGTTTGACTCAGCGGATAGAGTGTCGGCCTGCAGACCAAAGGATCCCAGGTTTGATTCCAGCCAAGGGCACGTACCTGGCCCTGGCCCTGGTCTGGGCTCATACAGGAGGCAACCAATTGATGTGTTTATCTCACATTGATATTTCTCTCTGTCTTCCCGTTTCTCTTCTACTCTCCCTCAAAAATTAATGGAAGAATATCCTTGGATGAGGAATAAATAAATAAATAAATAAAATGAATTGGGGAGTTTTCATCTTTTTACTTGAGGTCATAGCCTTTTAAATAACATTAGAAATATTTTAAAGCTGGATCTTTAAAGTCTACCCAGAACTTAGTTATAAAATCATCTAGTCCTGACATTTTTCTTCCTATTTTATTATAAAACTGTTCAAACTACATTCAACACTTAAGATTTTACCACACTCTGCTGAGACCGGTTTGGCTCAGTGGATAGAGCATCAACCTGCGGACTGAAAGGTCCCGGGTTCGATTCCGGTCAAGGGCATGTACCTTGGTTGCGGGCACATCCCCAGTGGGGATGGTGCAAGAGGCAGCTGATCGGTGTCTCTCTCATCGATGTTTCTGACTCTCTATCTCTCTCTCTTCCTCTCTGTAAAAAATCAATAAAATAAAAAAAAAAAAAAAAAAGATTTTACCACACTCATTTCATCTATTCCTATGGCTGGGTTTGCTGTGGATGCTGAACTATTTTAAAGCAAATCTTAGGTTTCAGATCTAAGATACTATCCTTACATGCTTTGGTGTGCATCTCAAAAGTATTGACATCATCTTTTATAGCCACCATGCCATTATTATTCCAAGAAAAATTATAATTCCTTACTACAGTCTATTTATCCATATTTGAAGTCTCTTTGTTGTCTCAAAACTATCTTTTTCCAGTTGGTCTGTTTCAATCAGATTACTTGCAAGATTAGGGACTTTATTTGGTCTCTCAAAGATTTTTTTAAATCTAGAGCAATTCCTCACTTTTTTTTTTTCTTGCAATCGAATTACTGAAAAAATTGGTCCATTGTCCTGTACAAGTTTCCACAATCCAGATTTGTACCTCAGGGGGTCATTTAACTCATTCTTCTATCATCCATATTCCTTGTAAATTGAATGTTTGCAGTGGCTTGATTATATTTAGGCTCACCTCCTTTTGCAAAGAATAAATTCAGTAGGTGATGCTGTGTACTTCAGGTTGCCTCACCATAGAAGGCACATAATATCTGGTTGTCCCTGGGTTAGTGATTGTAAGACTGAGTAGTGCATTCAGGTGGTGACAGCTTGGTGCCTTTTTATAAAGTTCCCCACCAACCTTTCACCTAATGGCTTTCACCCGCGGATGAACATGGTAGCACCCGCTGCGAGGCTCCCAGAGACCCCCACCTCCTAGTGCAGTGGTCAGCAAACTCATTAGTCCACAGAGCCAAATGTTAACAGTACAACGATTGAAATTTCTTTTGAGAGCCACAATTTTTTAAACCTAATCTATATAGGTAGGTACATGGTTATTAACTTAATCAGGGTATTCCTAAGCTGGCCTTTGCTAAAAACTCAAGGGGCCAAAGAGCCGCATGTGGCTCATGAGCCGCAGTTTGCTGACCACAGTGTGGATACACCCTTGTGTCCCCAGAGAGCAGGCTAGACTTACGACTTACTCCCATGAAAGGAATACATAAAAATAAAAAATAAAATTAAAAAAAAGAATGCATCATAGGTGATAGGATGTTACTTCAAGATTAAGCTACAAAAAAAAAAAAAAAAAAAAAAAAAAGGGCAGCCCTAGCTGGTTTGGCTCAGTGGATAGAGCGTTGGTCTGCGGACTGAAGGGTCCCGGGTTCGATTCTGATCAGGGGCACATGCTTGGGCTGTGGGCTCGATCCCCAGTAGGGGGTGTGCAGGAGGCAGCCGATTGATAATTGTTTCTCATCATTGATATTTCTACCTCTTTCTCCCTTCCTCTCTGAAATCAATAAACATGTATTTTTTTTAAAAAATGTGCATTCTCTCTTGGATGCCTGTTTTGTTCTCACTCACTGGCTAGCTCCTAAGGAAGCCAGCCGCCATCGTCAGAGAAGCCTTTTGGAGATGTCCATGTGTCAAGTAAACATGGCCAATAGCCAGCAACACGCTGAGATCTGCCAACAACCACATGAACGAACTTGGGAGCCGATCCTCCTCCTGTGATCCTTGAGATGACTGCTGACCTTGACTCTAACCTTGTGGGAGGCCCTGAGCCAAGAGCACCCCTTTAGGCCGGACCCAGCTTCCTCATCCACAGAAACTGTGAGACAATAAACATGTGTTATTGTAAGCTGCTCATTTAGGGTCATCTGTTACACAGCGATCGGTCACTAGTACAATCATCTTTGCCAGGATCAGTTATTGTCATTAGGGTTTACTCACTATAATTTTCTCATTTTATTGCTTAGGATTCCCTCTGTAGTTGCCATTTTTCAGATTAAGGGGTTGATGTTCTAGTCATGTCCAAGGATAGACAAAGAAATCTTTTAAAAGTAGCATTGGTGTTTGTTTTATTTTTAGTAAACTTGTTTTTTAAGTATAATATCATGCAGAAAATCATAAGCTTGATGAATTATAACAAACTGGACATACCCTATGGAACCACACCCAGGTCATGAAATGGAACACTGTCAGCAAGCCCCTCTCTTGCACTTTCCTAAATTTTTACCCTCCTGTAACCAGTACTGACCACAGGTTGTTTTTGTCTATTTTTGCACTCTCGTATACAAATGTACACATACTGCATGGATTCCTTTGATCTGACTTCAGTCAGCATTATGTTTGTGAGATGCATTGATGTTATATATGTAGCAGTAGTTATTTATTTTCAATGCTGTTTAGTATTCAGTTATACATTAAAAAAAATGGCCTGATTTATGTGTCTGTTCTGCTATTGACAAACATTGGGGTTGTTTGCAGAAGACTTCTAAATTTTAACTTAAATTTAAATTTGGTTTTCCAAGTTGTCAATGAAGAATTGTTGGTGAATAGCACGTTTTATTCAATGATTTGTTGTCTTGATTTGTATTTTTAACTATTTAGATAAACAACGTGTGGGCCTCCATTGTACTCCTTCCCTGAATCCTATAAACGCTAGGGGATGAGTCTCTCTCTATAGAATTAAAGTACATGAACGCAAGTTGGCTGGAGGTAAATGGAGTGAGAGGGCCCTAAGACAGAGTGAACTAATAGACATTGGTTTTCAGTAAGTTGAGGATGTTTGCTGTAGTGTGTAGGGTATCCACTAAAAGGACAGGGAGATAATGTATAATTAACAAGCAAATAGAGGAGGGAAAAGGAACAAAAAATATTTAATCAATCCAAAAGTAGACAAGAAAGTAAAGAAAAAGTAATACAGTTCAGGTGGGAAAAACAGAGTAAATAGTAAGATATTAGATATTGATATGCCAACAATTGATTTAAATATGAATGGAATAAATATTGATACTTCTATCAAAAGCCAAAAGACTGTTGATCTGTTTAAAAATTATTTCAATGGCATGCTGCTATAAGAAAGATAAGTTAAGTATAATAGTAATGAAAAAGGTTGAAGGTGCAAGATGGGAAAAGTTGTATCTTCTAAACAGTAGTTGAAAGTTGTTATATCCATACTATCAGACAAAGCCAACTTTAAAAAAAAAAAAAAAAAGAAGCATCATTAGAAATAGACAATTACTTACTAATCATTAAAGTTT